GTATGGCTTGCACATATTATCTTTGAGCAGGAAAGGTCGCGCAGATGCCATACAGCGGGGGAGTGCGAGCGCAGGGAATCGCACTGCTGCCGTGAAAGAGGTTTGATGCTGGCGAAGAGTATGCATTTGGTTTCATAATGGCAACCCCCCTAAACCCCAAACCTTGGGGGCCAGCCAATCTGGCGGTGCCCCATACAGCCAATGTGCTGGGCCAATGTGCTGTTCGCCTCGTACCAGCATGTCCGAGTGTGAGTGCTGAAACAGTAGCTGAAACAGTAAACCCGAAACAGTGTTGGGGGGTATATTTTACTATGACTATGATATACTATGATTGTAATAAGGAGCCCTTAAGACCATATTCTAAATATCAAGGCCCCTACAATATGGGAGTTTCCGAAAATGAGGGGCACCTTATTTTGGGGTCCTTATAACAAGGGTCCTACTACTTAGGGTGCTGTTTTGGGGCACCCTATTTTCGTAAACCCCCATAATACTCGTACCCCTTTTAGGACCCTTTAAAAGAACCCTCTTCTAACTAATAAGGCCCCTTTCTACATGCATTTGGTTTTATCATTGGCCACCTTCAGAGTACGAGCGCGGCTCTGGGCACACGAACCGAGAAGAGTGCCCGAGCTGCGAGACTTTAAAAAACCCGAAGCCATGGATTTCCCCAATAAAAGATAGTCTTCCTTAATAAAAGATCATCTCGCGTAGTGTAATGCAAGAATATCATCATATAGTACAATTTCAGATGACATAACAGAGTATACCATCGTATAGTATCGTTTCACATGATATGTTGGTGAGACTTCGAGGATTTCGAGAAGTTCCTGACGAACAAGATCAAGGTGGATGGCAAGACCGGCAACCTCGGCGACAAGGTCACCTGTCGATTGAACTTCAGAGAGACCTGGTCCTAAAATCGAAGCATCTTTCTGGAACCTCCAAATCAGGTACTCCCTTTATGGGGGGTGGACTGGTTCTTATGGGGGATTCGGGCAATTAGCTCTTCCGTGGCTGAGCGTCCATTATCTCGTCATGCGTTTGATACTTTTTCTTATGGGGGAGAGAAAAGAGGAGAGCCATGGAAGAGCCATGGGAGAGCCATCGGAGAGCCATGGGAGAGCTATGGGAGAGCTATGGGAGAGCCATGGGAGAGCCATGGGAGAGCTATGGGAGAGCCATGGGAGAGCCATGGGAGAGCCATGGGAGAGCCATGGGAGAGCTATCAGAGAGCTATGTGAAGCCAGCTTCTCATCTTACATACGAGCCCTGCAACAAGCCCATCGTCTTACATGCGAGTCCGGAACGAGAACCCTCGCAGGCCCATCAACTTCCATAGGCGACCTACCATCGTAGAACGGAGTTCTGCCAACGGCTTCAAAATATCTCCCATATCACTCCCATAAGGATAGGTAAAGCATAGTCCTATAGAAGCAGTATGGGAGAGCTATGGGAGCGGTATGGAAGAAACCCAGAAAGGGAATACCCGAATTGCAGTTACCAGAAAAGTCCCCCGATAAAAGGCTTTTTAAGGCCTGGGTCGAGGGCTAAACAAGGGTTTACTGCTTCCTTCTGAAGGCCACGCCCGAAACCCCTCAACCATCCAAGCCTATAGCCGTAGAGCCCTAACCCCTCAATGAGTGGCACACAGGTTACCATCAGCCGTGAGAAGAGCAAGATCCACGTCAGCGCCGAGTCGCCTTTCTCCAAGCGTCGCTTTGCTGAAGTGACTCTACTGTCGGAGCCTCAATAGTCATACTATCCCCGTATAGCCCTAGTATAGAAATACGATACTATCCCACCAAACCCCTACTCTGATCATTGTGGCCCCCGTGTTTGATCTTCCATTTTAGGGTTTAGAAAGGGGTTCAAGGTAGGCTCTATGCAGGGATCCCGAGTCGCCTTGGGGTGTCCAACACCTGCCCCTCCTAGCTGATGTTACGGGTTCAGGGCTAATGTTCACCTGAGGCATGCGAAAGGGAGCCCAGTGGTTAATATTAAGAAGCCGGTCTGGGGTTTGAGCACCCTGAAACCCGAAGCTCTGGAGCGGAGATACGATAAGCCGCAGATGACGCGAAGGCTACCTGAAGTACTTGGGCAAGAAGTACTTGAAGTCTCAGCAGCTCCGCGACTTCTTGCGCATCGTCGCTCCCAGCAAGACCTCCTACGAGATGCGTTGCTTGGCCTTCACCTCCTGTGGCAAGGGTCATTTTCTCTACTTACAGGGGCTTCAAACTTCGGACGGCTAGAAGGCCACGCAGAGGATAGGAAGGGTGGTGGAAGCCCTGCAGCAACAAGAGCAATAGATTTTTCAAAAGACGTGGCATTATACTGGCCAAGCTCATGAGTCTGCATGCTGCTTTTGCTTTCATAAGACTGGTTTTGGGTGCCAGGTTACTTCAACATTAACGAGAACAAGGACGATGAGGAGTGAGCGAAAGAAGGCCGGAGATCAGGTGGCATTATTTGGGTTTCAACCGGAATCGGAGGCTTCGATTCCTCATGCCTGCACAAGTCATGTGTCTGCGAGACTTGTTGCTCAGTGCGTGCGGGTGCTGCAGTCGATAGTGGCATGGCTAAGGCTAAGATATGGGAGATTCCGAAGATAGGGGACCCTAATATAGTACCCTAAGTAGTAGGATCCTTATTATAAGGACCCCAAAATAAGGCACCCCTTATTTTCGGAAACTCCCATATCAGTCGGTGAACCGCGAACAGCACGTCGTGACGTTTGCCAGGTCTCGAGTGAAGCGCCCTGTGAACTGACGGCTTCGCAGCGTCCGCGCGCAAAAACGAGTACCAGGGACTTCAAAGGGCACAGAGATCTTGGAGATTGGGAGCTGGGCGACTTCGGCTATTATTCGTTCATATTCTACTAGGGGCCTTCCCCGAGGCATGTAGTACCATCACACTCTATGCTTTGCGAAACGACAAGTATCTACGATAAGCATTTCTACAGCCTTATGCTGATCTGAAAGCGCTCCCATGTCAGATCAGTCGTCAACCACCAGCGTGAGTAAAAACAGACTCCGCGCGCAGCGGAATTCCATTCCTCGTGCCAGGAAGTTGCGATGCAGGAGCTGGGGACCTGCTCAGGATCAATAGTCGATGACTTGGCAAATCTTGAAGACCAATATAGAAGCCTGAGCAATTAGCAGTTCAATATTATTCCCGCAATATGCCCGAAAGCCCTATTCTAATAATTCAGGTACCCTACTATAGATCCCTTATAGACCCCTTTAAAGGAACTCTATTCTAATAATTTAGGCTCCTAATATTATAGTACCCTACTATAGATGTCTTATCCCTTTAAAGGAACCCGACTCTAACCATTGAGGCTCCCATGTTAGCTAGCCATGGCAACAGGAGGCTGCGTTCACGCCAGCCGAGCTGGACGAGCGGGGCACCCACCAGGGTCAGTGAGATCTAATGTAGAGGCTTAAATTATTACCAACACTATTCTGGGGTATCCCTAATATACCTGTAGTATGATGGCCCCCAAACCCTGTTCTAATTATAAAGGCCCCTATGTTACGCCCTTCGGAGCTATATTATACACCTACAGTGGCTATGTTGTTCGTGGCCTACAGGCTGGATCCAAACCGTAGCTAGGCTCTACTCTGACCCTCCTGAAAGTGCACGTGCGTCCTCTACCGTAACCATCTGCTTCGAGTTTCAAGCTGTGCTCTGCTGGATCTGTTTTGACCCAGTCGAACGGTGGTTTTCAGAATCTCTTCTTGGCCCCACGGCTTTCTGCTATGTAGGTGCTAAGGCTGGCAAGCGCGAGGAAATATGAATATGTATATATTTAGATACACACACACACATATATATATATATATATATATGTATATACTTGTATTTGTATTTGTACTTCGTGTTTGCTTCACCAAACCTAGTATGGCACTGGAGTGGCAGAGGATGAATAACAGGATGAGTGTGATTTCTGGCTATAATAGTGAGGATGACACAAACCGTACGGATGATGCGGCAGTATGTGATGATGGTGAGGGTGAGCCTGGCGACTTTGTCAGAAGTGCCACTGCCCCGCATCTTGCAGGCAGCTGTCCACCGCCTCGGAGTTGCATCAGAGGGCCTTTGAGTGGCTTCGCTGGGATCCCAAGAACGCGATGTCTAATATAGGGGGCCTTAATAATTACCGATACCATCTTTGGGGGGGGGCTTCGTATAGCAAGTATAGCATAATGGGCCCCCAAACCCTTTTCTAATTATTAAGTCCCCGGGTAGCAAATGCAGCATCAATAGACAGGGGGCTTCAATGTGCATAGGTGCATGTGTCTTCGTGTAGCCAGAAATAGGGAACCGTATCATAGTACCCTAAATAGTATCCTTAATATAAGGACCCCAAAATGAGGTAGCCCCTAAGTTTCAGAAACTCCCCCATACCAACCCTTCCCTCATACTTCCGGGTCGTCTCGGAGTTATCATGGTACAGCAGACCGGTCGTTGGCCCCATGGTTTTTGTGTCCTCGTCAGTTCCCCATGGTACCCCTGTTCTGTTTTTTGAGGCTGTGGCAACACATGGGGTCATTTCGTGCAATCTCGGGTGAGCAGCATGAACGAACGACTTCTTCCAAGATAGAGGCCTCGACTCCAATGAGTAGTAAGATGGTGCCTCCTTTCAGAGGCATCTTCTTGGGCCCCTATAGTGGCACATCTTCGGAAGGGCCGGTTGATTTCAGCCTCGTCTGGGCTCGGGCCTGGAACACAAGAGGGCAAAGGTTTCAGGAAGCCGCAAAGCCGCTTTTGCTCATCATGCTCTACTCTTCTCACACTCTGGGAGTTTCCGGAAATTGGGGGGTACCTTATAATAAGGATCCCACTATTTGAGGTACTATATTAGCGTCGCCTATTTTCGGAAACTCCCCTATGTCGCGTAGCCATGTTGGCTACATGTCACATGTCTTGCTCTCTATACCGGCTTACGGCTCAGCCTCGCCCCTCTGTGCTTCCCGGCCAGACCTCGCAAGTGTGCCATGGCTGAAGCGGTAAAGTTTGAGAAATTTGATGCCTCGGTGAACGAGCGTGGGGTTTGCCGGGCAGTTTCCATCAGCTTTGTGGCACATGTTCTTGGCTGCAGCGAGGAAGAGGACGGAGAAGTTTTTGCGCCTATGCCATCCTCCGGCTACCTGCCCGACGAAGTGGAAGCCTTGCAGAAGTGGCGGGCAGATGAGCTGTATGACGAGTCTGACTTTGTCAAGGACCTCACGGAGCTGCGTGCGCCAGCACCCATATTGATGAGCAGCTTTGGGGACAAGCTTGCCTTGCACGAAATGATCTCTGAGAAGGTGGATGGCTGGGACGCAGCCATGGCAAAAGTCAGACCGGAGCTCGAGCAAGGAGATCAGAAGTGTGCTTTCGTGCTTTCGTTCTACTACCTGAAGCCAGACGGTCGACGTGAGGGGAGACACGCCATTGCTGTGGATACATCTGGAAGGGAAGGCCACTACCATGTCATGGATCCTAATCAAGGAGTGTGGCAATTCGACAGTCTGAGTGCATTGCTCCAGTGGTTGCAGCATGGGGCAGAGCTGGTCGGCGGCAGACGTGTCCACACAGTGCGGTTACTGAGGGCGGCGAGAGTCTAGGCCCTAGGCTCCCAAATACCCCCCCTATTCTAAACCCTAAGCCCTAATTCAGAAACCCTAAACCCTAAAATCACCCCCCCCCTTTCGGAGTCTTTGGCCGGGGCCATCATCTGTACAGGGCCTCGTGCTTGGCCTGTCACGGAGCAAGCGCAAGGGCATATTTGAGGGCTCTTCATAGCCATGGGAATGCCCGGCACAGGCACTTGCTCTGAAATTCCAGGTTCCAAGGAGCCCGTGTGACTGCCTAAGTCTTCACAGCCTGCTCTTTGAGAAGAGGAAGACCTACTGCCACTGAAACACCTTGTTCGCCAAGTTGCGACAGTCGAAACCTACCCTATTCTGACCCTAAACCCTACTCCGAACCACATGCCTCGCCTGGATTGTCCGAGTGTGAGCGCCGAAACCGAATCTAGGTCCTCAAATAAAACCCCTCCACGGAATTGCAGTCACCCTAAACCCTAAACCCTATGGGTTTAGCCACTCAGGCCGTGCTCGCTCGCGCCGCCCTGCCCCGACGACTTCTCCGTTCCGGGGCCCCACGAAGGGATTCGTCGGGGAGGGCCTAGGCGGCCTAGGGTATAAGTCTAGAGGTACTTAAGTTAAGGTTTGGAGTTTAGGGACCATTAGGTTGGGGTTTGTTTTTGCAGGGTGAAGGTCTTCAGGGGTTTGGGGTGGGAGAAGGAGTGTGATTACGAATCCTGTCGGTCCCGCAGGGTTGGACAGGTTGGGGTTCAGACCCCCGGCCCTCAAAGAGCTTTCCCGTTCACCGTTGCGATCAGGCCACGAAAATGAAGGCGGTAGGATCCCATGGATAGGAGCCTCGCTTCTGGATGCTGCAGGTTCCGATTGGGCACTTTCGGAGTGAATAGGCGTAGTAGTTTCGGCAGTTGCTGGAGGTTGTGCTGTTTTGAGGTTCAGGGATCCATTGTCACACTATGTCGGAACGAAACCTGGCAGTGCTCTGTGTTGGCGATTTTTCGACTTCGAGGTGTGTCAGGCAGGTTTGGGCTGCGTCGTCTACGTAGCGGGAGTGGTTGTCCAGTAACAAGGCAGGAGCAACAGCGACTTCAGCAAGCGTCGCTGTCGCAGCAGAGCCTTTGGTGTTTCTCTCGAAAAAGACGTACAGTTGGACATGGCACCCATCTTATGCTGAAGCTGTTTAGTCCAGAGAAGTGCCGGCAAAGCCGGCGTGTCAGAAGCCCCCGCCCAAAGACCCGAGCCATGGCCCCTGAATGAACACGGACTCAATGCATCTTAGTCTTGTAGAGTGATTCCGAACCTCAGCCCTCTGAACTTGCTGCACGCCTCCTTACCCCTTAGCCAATTCAGACAACATCAACCAACTCAGCGGCACTCAATTCTCCTGCTACCATGGCGAAGAAGACGCACCCATTGGACTTACCCTGGACTTGTGGGAGGCCATCTCGCGTGTGTTGCTGTCTGGGTGGGGGAGACAGTCTTGAACTGTTCCTGTGCAGGGAACATTTGGGGTTCTCGAGGGGGTCATTGTCTGGCTAAGTAAATTTATAGTAATTCGGTCATAGTCTTATAGCCATTGCAAAGCATGGTTGTCCGCAGTCCGTCGTGAGAGTAGTGAGTAGTGTTAGCAGCAGCAAGAGGAGGAGGAGTTGTAGCGCTAGTAGTAATAGCAGTAGTAGTAGTAGTAGTAGTAGCAGTAGTAGTAGTAGTAGTAGTAGTAGTAGTAGTAGTGGTAGTAGTAGTACTAGTAGTACTAGTAGTATTAGTAGTACTAGTAGTACTAGTACTACTAGTAGTACCAGTAGTACTAGTAGTACTAGTAGTAGTACTAGTAGTACTAGTAGTACTAGTAGTAGTACTTGTAGTAGTAGTAGTAGTAGTAGTAGTCGTAGTCGTAGTCGTAGTCGTAGTCGTAGTCGTAGTAGTCGTAGTCGTACTCGTAGTCGTAGTCGTGGTCGTAGTCGTAGTCGTAGTCGTAGCAGTAGTAGTTGTTGCAGGAGTAGTATCGGAAATGGTGGTCACTGGTCGTCGTTGTCCTCTTCATCGTGTGTGTCGTAGCGGATTGTAGTAGTACTGTAGCAGCACTAGGAAACCCGAACCATGACAGCCAGCTCACACTCCTTGTGGATATACTCGTCGAGACCATCAATGTGCAACTAGATCAGATACAAGGTGAACGTCTTGAAACCAGGTCATGGGAGCGATTCAAGATTAGCTGGCTCTGGCCGCTACTGCAGACGGGCGTGCGCCATGCCCTGCAGGTGGATGCAGTTTTCGAGTTCTGTGCTTTGCCTTCAGGGTTTTCATTTTTCGGAGGGGGGGAGGTCGTGAACCTTCGGCCTCCTGAGGTCCTACACCCCAACTGCATCCTAAGATCCTGAAGCCCCAAACCCCCTCAACCCTAAGCCAGGAGGAGGATGTGTGGCCGGTGCCTGAGAAGCTCCGTGCGGAGCGGGTGGGCAACCGTGCGGCCGAGCTTTGGCGGGAGGCCGGCCTATACAGGTTTGAGCTTTCGTGGTTGGGATCTTGGGAGGGGGGATCTCCGGTCTTGGTAACGGTATTATAGATCGCAGAGGGTTTAGGATTCGGGGATAGCTTTCACAGGGTATATAGGTTGCCGTGGGTGTTATTGCCTGATAACTACCCATGATCCTTCCGTTTGGGGATGGTGGGCATCCGGGCTTTCGTGTTTCAGTAGCAGAAGTACGGCAAATATCACCCAAAATTCCCAACCTCAACCTGAAATCAAGCAGGTAGTCCCGACCAGTCGAACACAAGATCTCGTCTGGCCGAGTCCGAGTTGCGAGAGCGTAAACCTGCCGCTAGCCCTAACCCCCAAAACCTACAATAGAGGCTTAATTGATTGCCATTACTATTTTTTGGGGGGGGTCCTCATTATAAGTACATATAATGGGTCCCAAAACCCTATTCTAACAATTAAGGCCCTATATTCGCCATTTCAGAAGCGATAGGAGTGCGACAGCGCTTCCAGCCGGCAGCGCCCTCCAAGCCTGGCACGGACGCTCCTGCGTCTAGCAGCGAGGCCTACGGCGCAGAGACTCGACGCGATTGGTCTTCCGGCTTCTGCTGCCCTGCCCTGCCCTGCCACGAGCTTGAAACCTACCAAAGCAGATTGGACATGTTTGGTGCGATTGGTCTTCCGGCTTCTGCTGCCCTGCCCTGCCCTGCCACGAGCTTGAAACCTCCCAAAGCAGATTGCACATGTTTGGTGCTATTGGTCTTCCGGCTTTTGCTGCCCTGCCCTGCCCTGCCACGAGCTTGAAACCTACCAAAGCAGATTGGACATGTTTGGTGCTATTGGTCTTCCGGCTTTTGCTGCCCTGCCCTGCCCTGCCACGAGCTTGAAACCTACCAAAGCAGATTGGACATGTTTGGTGCTCTCTTTGGCGCATAGTTACCTTGGAAGTGATTTCAGCTGGTGTCGGCTTCTAGGTGTCCCGCGTTGCTCTCAGTCCGTGAAGAGACATGTCGTTCACTCAGGTACCTGTTCAACAGTCTTTGTTGCAACTTGACGGCAGCCGGCTCGCCTTTCGAACCTCAGCCATGAGTGAAGTGTACACCGCCCAGGATCTTGGTGACAGTTGATGCTGCGTTGGTGTAGCCTGGGTGTAGCAAACCAAACCTCAACCCTGAACATCCCGGAACCCTAAACCGACCCGGATTTCAATGATCTGCATCTTCGACCTCGAAGTCCCATGTTACTTGCTGGTTTGAGCTACTAGGATTTCGAGGGGAGGATACGTCTTCGGACACAGTCACTTTATGTGTTGGTATAACGTTGTTGATGAGATAATGACGATTCCTATTAGTGAAGTCTCACTCAGCAGACACCGAACCATATGCCTCGTCTGGATTGTCCGAGTGTGAGCGCCGAAACCGAGGCGTGTGCTTTTATGTGGCGGTCTCAGTTCTGCTCCTAATGGCAGCTCTGCACCCTTGGCAGCCTCCACTGCAGCCGCAATCATGTAAAGTTTAAAGCTGAAGCATTGGCTGGTAATTGCGACAGAACACTGCAAAAACCTTTCCTACCGTTATATCATCACATACCCTGGCATACAAATACATACCAGTGCGTACCCAGAGATACTTATACCCACAATTACACATATTACACACATACGGAAACATGCATACTTGTATGTAGATATACATACACGTATATACATACATGGTTACATGCATGCAGACATACAGACCGACAGACAGGCAGACAGCAGAGACAGACCCACATACAAGATTACGCACATACAGACATGCACACATACATACATGCATGCATACATGCATATAACACACACACACATATATATATATATATACACACATTCATATATCCCCACATACGCAAGTACACACCCCCACATATGCTCTCTCGCTCTCTCAGCATTCACAGGAGGTCATGTAAGCTGAGTGAGCTTACACACATGTTCACGCATAGATGCATACATACATAAATACATACATGCGTATGTGTGTACCTACCTACATACACAAGCGCGCACACACAGACACACACACTGAATGGCAAGTAAGGTTTCGGTATGCGAAGAACCAGAACCAGCACCCAGGTCTCAGGCGACCACATGCTGGATGACTTTTGACATGTGGCATCATGGACAATAACTGCAAAGAGGAAGAGCAGAAAGTTCGTGGCCTGAGACCTCTACCTGCCTGACTAAACCACAACGCCAGCCTGAACCCCAACGCACCGAAGGGCAACACAGAGAACGTGGGCCTGACTGACTGCGCAACCTGTGACTCGTCACCAAACGTCCAATAACTGTAAGCTCAAGCACTGAATGTACCGCTCCAAATGTACGGTGGACGCAAGCATGGAAGAATGGCACCCAACGCACGCACTGAGGGTTCTCGGCTTAGCCCCGTGCCATGTCCAATGGGATCATGGGGTGCAAGGTCCCAGCTGCCATGCCTGGCCCAGAGCACCTTGCTGACTCCCTCCAGCTGCCACGCAGAGCCCAGGAGCGGAGTCCCCCATAGCAGGTACACTGAAATGGCCAGTTTCAGCTTCCCGCATACTCAGTTAGCTTCGTTGGATGAGATCACTGAGCATGCGTCTCATCCCCCTGCTGTAGTGATAGAAGACCAAGAGAAAGGCAAGGCAAAGCATGTCATGGGAGCGTGGCCTGAAGACCCTTGGACACAGGGTTGTCACACACACGCCCCGCCGTAGCGGGGCGAGTCAGGAAACGGCTGCGGTCAACCGTGCCATGTGCTTCGCCAAGGTACTGCGCCATGTTCTTTGCCACGGTGTCGGAGGTGAAGACAGCGTTTTTGCCTAGTGCCTCAACCTGCCTCCCTAAACCACAACCAGCCTAAACCCACGCACCGAAGACAAAGGCAAGGAGGAAGAAGTGACTGCGGGTAGGGGAATGGATACCCCCAAAGCCAACCGGGTTCGTCACGAAGAAGTCGTACATCTTCGCCGCGAAGAGGTCGTACAGCAGTACGCGGGTAGGGGGATAAAAACCCCGAAAGCCAACAAAGTGCACCAGGAAGAGGTCGAACAGCTTCGCCGCGAAGAGGTCGTACAGCAGCACACGGGTAGGGGGATGGATACCCCGAAAACCAACAAGGTTCGCAGGGAATGGATACCCGAAGGCCAACAAACTTCGCCACGTACAGGTCGTGACTGCGCCATGTGCTTCGCCACGGTGTCAGAGGTGAAGACAGCGTTTAAGCCTAGAGCCTCAACCTGTCTCCCTAAACCACAACCGGCCTGAACCCCCACGCACCGAAGACAAAGGCAAGGAGGAAGAAGTGACTGTGGGTAGGGGAATGGATACCCCCAAAGCCAACCCGGTCCGTCACGAAGAAGTCGCACAGCTTCGCCGCGAAGAGGTCGTACAGCAGTACGCGGGTAAGGGGATGAATACCCGGAAGCCAACAAAGTTCGCCACGAAGTGGTCGCACAGCTTCGCCGCGAAAAGGTGTACAGCAAGCACACGGGTAGGGGGGGATGGATACCCCGAAAGCCAACAAGGTTCGCCACGAAGAGGTCGTTACGAAAGCATGGGGAAAGGGGATGGATACCCGAAGGCCAACAAACTTCGCCACGTACAGGTCGTGACTGTGCCATGTGCTTCGTCACGGTGTCAGAGGTGAAGACAGCGTTTAAGCCTAGAGCCTCAACCTGCCTCCCTAAACCACAACCGGCCTAAACCCACGCACCGAAGACAAAGGCAAGGAAGAAGAAGTGACTGTGGGTAGGGGAATGGATACCCCCAAAGCCAACCAGGTTCGTCACGAAGTCGTACAGCTTCACCGCGACGAGGTCGTCCAGCAGCACGCGGGCAAGGGGATGAATACCCGGAAGCCAACAAAGTTCGCCACGAAGTGGTCGCACAGTTTCGTCGCGAAGAGGTCGTACTGCAGCACACGAGTAGGGGGGATGGATACCCCGAAAGCCAACAAGGTTCGCCACGAAGAGGTCGTTACGAGAGCGTGGGGAAAGGGGATGGATACCCGAAGGCCAACAACCTTCGCCACGTACAGGTCGTGACTGCGCCATGTGCTTCGCCACGGTGTCAGAGGTGAAGACAGCTTTTAAGCCTAGAGCCTCAACCTGTCTCACTAAACCACAACCGGCCTGAACCCCCACGCACCGAAGACAAAGGCAAGGAGGAAGAAGTGACTATGGGGGTAGGGGAATGGATACCCCCAAAGCCAACCAGGTTTGTCACGAAGTCGTACGGCTTCGCCGCGAAGAGGTCGTACAGCAGTACGCGGGTAAGGGGATGAATACCCGGAAGCCAGCAAAGTTCGCCACTAAGTGGTCGCACAGCTTCGTCGCGAAGAGGTCGTACAGCAGCACACGGGTAGGGGGGATGGATACCCCGAAAGCCAACAAGGTTCGCCACGAAGAGGTCGTTACAACAGCGTGGGGAAAGGGGATGGATACCCGAAGGCCAACAAACTTCGCCACGTACAGGTCGTGACTGCGCCCTGTGCGTCGCCACGGTGTCAGAGGTGAAGACAGCGTTTAAGCCTAGAGCCTCAACCTGCCTCCCTAAACCACAACCGGCCTGAACCCCCACGCACCGAAGACAAAGGCAAGAAGGAAGAAGGGACTGTGGGTAGGGGAATGGATACCCAGCCAACCAGGTTCGTTACGAAGAAGTCGTACAGCTTCGCCGCGAGGAGGTCGTCCAGCAGCACGCGGGCAAGGGGATGAATACCCGGAAGCCAACAAAGTTCGCCAGGAAGTGGTCGCACAGCTTCGCCGCGAATAGGTCGTACAGCAGCACACGAGTAGGGGGATGGATACCCCGAAAGCCAGCAAGGTTCGCCACGAAGACGTCGTTACGAAAGCGTGGGAAAGGGGATGGATATCCGAAGGCCAACAAACTTCGCCACGTACAGGTCGTGACTGCGCCATGTGCTTCGCCACGGTGTCAGAGGTGAAGACAGCGTGCAAGCCTAGAGCCTCAACCTGCCTCCCTAAACCACAACCGGCCTGAACCCCCACGCACCGAAGACAAAGGCAAGGCGGAAGAAGTGACTGTGGGTAGGGGAATGGATACCCCC